CGTCGGGAAACAGCTTCTCCTCGAGAACTATCCTCTCGGAAAATCTCTAAAAAATCCTCACCTCCGTGCTTTATCCACAAAACTTAACGGCGGTCTCCGTTCCATAACCGTCGTTCTAACGGCGAAAGATGTTACCGTCGAAAGATTCTGTATGAGCCGGTGCGGCACTCACGGATCCTCCAGCTCGAAACCGCGTCGCGCAGCTAACGGCGCGGCTTACGTCTGGGTCGGGAACTCCGAGACGCTGTGCCCTGGATATTGCGCCTGGCCATTTCACCAACCGATTTACGGACCACAAACGCCGCCATTAGTCGCGCCTAACGGTGACGTTGGAGTTGACGGAATGATTATAAACCTCGCCACACTTCTCGCTAACACCGTCACGAATCCGTTTAATAACGGATATTACCAAGGCCCACCAACTGCACCGCTTGAAGCTGTCTCCGCTTGTCCTGGCATATTCGGGTCGGGTTCTTACCCGGGTTACGCGGGTCGAGTACTTGTTGACAAAACAACCGGGTCTAGTTACAACGCTCGTGGACTCGCCGGTAGGAAATATCTATTGCCGGCGATGTGGGATCCGCAGAGTTTGACGTGTAAGACTCTGGTTTGATCTAAGGGATGTGAGTAAGACACGTGGCATAGTAGTGAGGGCGATGACGAGATCTAGATGGCATCTGTAGTCAAAATCAAGTTGCACGCGAGCGTGTGTATAAAAAAATCTTTCGGGTTTGGATCTCGGGTTTGGATTGTGGATAGGGCTCTCTCTTTGCTTTTGTCGTTTTGTTATGACGTGTAAAAAATCTGCTCGGAAATGTGAAGATATATGCATATAAAATAAAATAAAAATAATTTTGTTTCCACTTTATCAAATTTAATAATGCACTCGGTTTTGCATAATGATCAAAGCTAGTATTACTAATTATTTTATTTAAAGGTATCTAACTTTTTTTTTATATGTTAGTGGGTATAGAGGATAACAATGTTATATTTGTTAAAAAAAAAAATGTTAAATTTGTTGTATTTAATTCGGTAATATTAATGTGGATAACTAAAGTAAGGAAGTTGTGTTGGGGTTAGGCCTCGGTACAAGACAAGTATTTGCTATTTTTCAAGTACTTGTGACTCGCCTTGGCACGTACAAGTAATTGAAAGTTCGGCTTGATACTCGACTCGTTTGAGCAAGTACTTGCTAGAACAAGTACTCGTCCAAAATTTTGTTACTTGTAAGTAACTTGACCCGGTTTGTTACTTGCAAGGTAACTTGACTTGGCTTGTTACTTGCAAGTACTTGTTACTTAAATCTTGAAGTCTTGAACATTTAATTTAAATAAAAAACCAATCTTATACGTATTATAAAACATTCAGAATTTTAAACATCGTAAAATCGCAAAACATCCTAGAATCACAACACATTGAAAGTTCCAAAAGATAAGCATTTTAAAACAATCAAATTGAAATCTTGTCTCTATCTTCCTTCTTGAGTTCTTGTCTTCTTGATTCTCTTTTTTTTTCCATATAAATAAAACCAACATAACAAATGTTACTATTAGTGTATTACGCTTTAAAACAAAACTTGAAAATCATGAAGTATCTTGTAATACAAAACGGGACGAGTAGCGGAGCGAGTAACGGAGCGAGTAACGGGGCGAGTATCGAAACGGGGCGAGTAACGAGCCAAGTATCAAAAAAAATTATGATACTTGATACTTGACCCTTACTTGCAAGTAATGGAATTATACTACTTGGTACTTGCCTTGACAACACCGGGTACTTGTTTTTTCAAGGCGAGTACGAGCCGAGTAGCGAGTATCAATCGAGTAACGAGTACTTGTGCCCAGGCCTAGTTGGGGCCTAGGAGACCAAATTGATTGCTTTGTAAATACTTGTTTCATGATATTGGTAAGTTTTGAAAATTTTTATGCATATTAATATGTTATCTGTAACTACAAATCTATCCTCATTTGTAAACTTGCGACTAAAGCTTTTTTATCTTTAAACTAAATAATAGGTAGAGACATAAAACTAACCTAATCCGCCGCTGCAAAAAAAAAAAAAAGTTTTCGATCTGAGGCCGGAGTGCGGTGGCTTCCTTAGCACCGACTCCGGTCTCCTCGTCCTCTCTGTTTTTAGCCTTCAGTTCTCTGTTTTTCTGCTTTTGCGATTTGGTTTGGAGGAGTTTCTCGCCGTTTCTGGTCCATTCTCGATTCTGGCCGACGGTGGTGGCTGAGTTTGTTCGGTGACGGCGTCTCTCCACTCTTCCTCTGGTCCCTGTTCCCAAATCTGTGATTGGCGGTTTTATTACGGTGAGTTTGCTCTCTCCCTTCCTGTGAGCTTATCTTTGTGGCTCTCTTTCCTTGGTGGTTGTGGTTGTTTGCAGAACTTTTGGCCTTCGTTTGGGGATTCTCTTGGTTGTTTCGAGTGTTGATTTGGTGTGTGTGTTTGATGCGGGTGGAGCGACATATCTTTTGACCGTGCCCTAAGAGCTGCTCGTATTGCACTGCTGCCGCCGTCGTGCGACCCCTCTTGAGCGG